CATAAAGAGCACAATGCCCGGGACAAACTCAACATGAGGATTGCTTCATGAAGGCCGAATTCAATTGGTTTTCCCCTTCATAAAGGTTACAGCCTCATTAGAGGAATGAAAAGCCTTGAATTCGAGAAACACACACACACACACACACACACACACACAACACTTACACCAAACACTTACTTTACTTACCACCTCCAAGATAATAAGTTAAATAACTTCGGAAATGAAAAAACTAGGTGATATGCAGAAAAGGGGCTACATAAGCTTAATGCTTACAGACTAGCACGTTTTTCCTGGGTGTTTTTTAAGAGGTTAGCGCTACTAGGATTACACGCTGCTATGATTAATTGCATGCTACTCGCAAAAAATAAATCTATAAATGTATACCATGATGCTACAAAACCACGTGCATAATATTTTCTTTACATTTGTGTTAAGAGTATTTATAAAAAATGCTTCATCACAAACATTTTCAATAATTCGCCTTTAGGATTGTAACTATATTTTATTTGAATGATATGTATTTGATAATCCTTTCTTGAGTGTGCAAGATAATATGTTTATCATCATCATATAACATATTAAAACTGGAGGATATGTCATAAACTTTAACCTATCATTATACAGGTGAACCTGCCGCTAACTTTGAGCCAAGAGACAACTCCTCGGCAGTTTCATATTTTATGGCCACATCTTTCATGCCAGCTGAATGCCTTCCCATTCGTCTTGACAGCCTTTGATGTGTATCTTTTCCCATTCAAAATGAGCTTTCGTCTTTTCCAAGTCCTCACAGTCTCTGAAAAAAGGATAGTGATTGCAGGGATCGGATGATTGTCCAACAGAGCATGCTGTTAGCTCGCAGTTTTCAAGGTCATCGCCTTGAATGTTAAGAATGTAAGGACGCAATCCAGCCAGCGCTTGAGCCACGTATCCGAATGTGGAGCAGCTACTGCTAACGAACACGTCACTCGTACTTAGAAGCCAAATTTCTACCATGGCATTGACAGCTTGTTCTAAGCTGTCGGTTTGAACTCCGTCACTAGAGAAGGTGTGCACCTCTATTAGCCTTCCATCTGCAGTAGGATAGTTCATAAAATTGTTTTTCAACTCTTCATAGTACTTGACTTGCAAGGAAGTAACCATTACTTTGATCGGTTTCTTTGGCTCTTCATATCTAATGGAATTATTCTTGGCGAAGTCTGCATTGACAACTGATGACAATAGTTTGTTCTCGGTAAGGCATTGCAAGATTCGTTCGAGTGAAGGACGATGAAAAACTGCTGGATCGCCTCTGTGATGCAACCGCACCTGCATACCAAGCTGCTTTCCAGGTGTAGATAAGTATGACGAACGTAGACGAGTAATCTTGTGCCAAACATGGTTCTGGGGTAACAACAAATATTTACTTAGTTGTGTGAAAGTTAAGGAGACGTCTGGGAACCAGATGGTGAGTCGCATCCAGAACTCGGGAAACGTAAAAAGCCGAGGTACGTAGTACAAGTTGCTGGCCCATATTATCCATGGTACATCCTCAAGATCGGATCTTGTTTCAGGACAAAAGAATCGCTGGTCTCCTGTCTCCGCGTTCACCAGGAAAAGGCGGACAATATTACCAAGCTCTGAGTTGTTTATGGTTCCCAGCTTTGGCGCTTTATCAATAAGATGATACGGGAAATCCTCTGGTAAAAGCCACGAGTGATTAAATGGCTCACAGAGAAGCTTAGACAGATGGCCTCTTCTATCGACAAGGAAAACCCGGTTTGTGAGCAGCGAGTACATGAACGCCGTGGCTAACGTTAGGAGACGGTTCCCAAGGCCATCAGCTTCCGCATGAACGAGATATCTGCAGTGATCGCGGGGATCTGGATGCAAAATAGCTTGCGTTAAGTTTCGTCCCAGATAACATCTCTCGTGCATCTTCTCATACTCTCTCAATGCTTTGGATAGTGGAGCTGGAATGGTATGTACTTCCTTCCATAAATTTTGCTGGAATTCCCTGCTCAAGCAAGTTCTTGCGTTAGGGGAATTTGAGATTGGAGGATTGATGACGAATTGTGCTCTCTTGCCCAAGCGTAGACAGTCTTTGCTGCTCTTATGGGCAAAGGAAAGATTTCGAATAACCAAGGTGGGGACCAGCAGGGATGTGAACAATAAGACCACAAGAACAACCTTTAAAAGCTTCAAATTCAGAAAGATTTTGACGAACGGCATGGCATCCATGTCGCTAGTGAACTGCTCTAACTGCTTTTAAGCGAAGGGTGGCTGATATTAGCAAGGATCGAGCTCCGCTAATTGAACCGCCAACTGCGGTAAAAGAATTGCTACCTGAAAAGTTGCTCTTTGCTGCAAACATTCAATATGTAACAGTAGTGTGGGTTTCCATCGTTTACAGGAGGTTTATTAGTGAAACACGCTTGACTTAATGAAAACATGGTAGAAGAGGGAAGAAAACGAGGACATAAGCATTACGTGGACCAATTGCGTTTTCTTGCTGTTGCTATAGCCGCCTCTTAGAAAAAGCGCAGCTACATCGAATACCCTGACAACCACATGTGCGAAAGGAAAGTATTTTCAGCTTCAAATGATGCTAAAGAAAGACCTTACTGGAAGAAAGACCCTAGCACAGATCTCATCAACATGGAGGTAGAATGGCACTTCAAATCATACAAATATTGAATATGATTCTAGGAAGCTGCTGTGCGCAGGAGGAAGTCTATGCACTCCTGGTGGAGTTTTATGTGACAACTAAAAACATCTCTGAAACTTTAGAGTGCCACATTCAGACTTTGAAGTGCAGGCCTACGAGTTGTTGCAAATGATGAAACAGAGAGCTTGCAATCGATTTGGACAGGTAAATATTTGACTGGGAAATTCATGGGTCATGCCAGTTAATCAATTGTATTTTTTTAAAAAAAAATTAAAATAAATTCGAGAGCAAAAATTAGGTAACTATGCACTTCAAATCTATCATAACTTCAATAAAAGATACCTGTTAACGTTGTTCGCATTAGTTAGTCGAAGGAACACTACTAAGCCTGAGGAATTCATTGTACATGACCACAAGAATTTTTGAAGTCCCCTGGTGATGATCATGATATTGCCGGAAAGCCTATTGTTATAAGGAAGAAGTCCTTTGCCAGGACGTACAAGATAAGCTAAGCATCTAGTATTAGACAATGTCTTAACTTCTGATGTCAGCGGGAGCTTAGAAAGAGACTTTTCCATACTTAGACATCATATTTTGTACGAAGCATTTTAAACTGTACGGTGGGAGGACCAACAAGGCCATGCAGATGTCTGACATGACGTGTCATTTTGGTTCCTTTATTGAACCGAGTTTGAGTCCATTTTTCTTTGGGTAGCCACACCTAAAAAGAAAAGCCTCTTACAGAAAAGCATATAATTCATAACCAACCTGAGTGGAGCTCGTTCGCTTGAAATATGAAGTCTCTGTTTGGGTGCTGTCTGTGAGTTTGTTCTGTAGTTCCAAGGCCCTGATTTATTCACAAAGAAAGAAGTTGCTACAAATACTATCACAAGAATTTTACCTTTCGTAAAACGCCTCATCCGTCCAGCGATGAGGCTGGCCAATGTGAATGGCCGTTTGAGTCGAGAATTCACAGGAAAATGGCTCACTCGAGGGATCAATGATCTACAGCAATATAGTGAAATATTGTTTTCTTTCACAAAGAAGACATACCTCAGAGATTGCAAGGGATAAAAGTTTTGGGCATTGCTGAAGCCGCAAGAGGTGAACAAGCTGCGGCATTTTATGTACCACGTTTTCTACCGTCCTAAGAAACAGTGAAGGACTTCTTGCAAACCTAGGTATCAAATATATCAAAATGTGATCGATTTTCCTTTAACTTACTCCCTTAGATCCTCTTCAGTCGAAAATGCAAAAAGCTTTTCTTCGAACTCAACCAGTCCAACGTCTGGATCACCGTGAAGAAGAAGGCCACGGTACTTTGCTAATGTGACAGGGCAATATCCGCCAAGGTGGATTTCTCTTTCACTTTCAAATGCCGCGTCAATCTCGCAACTTGTGAGCACTCTTCCCTCCCCTTCGTCGGAAGATCCCGCCTTGATGCTTGACAAATAGAAAATAAATCTTGTTATAGGAACACAGATTACCAGCTTCAGGAACTTACAGGGCCTCGTTTTCGTCCCAGGTCACATTGTACAAATCCTTTTGTAAAAATGTTGTGTACATAATCAGAACCTTGAGCTTTGCAAGACCAAGAGGGGAATTTTTCCAATCCGTATGATAGTTTATCGTCCATCCCGTTTTCTTCCAAAGGTTTGCAAACCCTGTTGGAGTACAATCAAACTGAGGCTCAGCAGCCAATGATAAAAAAGGACTGCAAGCCCTTTGATGTGCTCGAAGCAGCCGAAGCTCTTCAAGCATCGACTTGTGCAGGTTTCCCAATGCTTTAAATTGCGGGAAAACCTGGATTCAAATTGTCAATACATATAAGATTCATTAGGTATCATACTAGTTCAGTTGCTACACAGGGTCGGTCGCTGATAATGTCGCAAAGGACGTTTAGTTTCCGTGAGAACTGGTCCATAAGATCTGTTACGAAAGCAAATCTTTCGTCCAAAAAGGATTGGAAATCTTCAAGAATGGCAAAAGCTTGGAGGTGGTAATTAAGCTCGTCTCGTAGTCTTTGAATAAGTACGTGTTGTATTCCAAGAGAGTGAATGTGAAGTGTAATGGCACTAGCGGAGACGTGAGTTCTCTCGCTCAAAATTTGAAGAAGCTGGAGCACTTTTTCGGTTAACATTTTTTTCTCGTGCTTGTAGAGGTCAAATGGGAGGCTAAGAGTTTTTCCGCCTTTTGACAGATGCCTAAGAAAACTGAATAATAACAAATGACTTGGAAACTCAAGCCTTACTTGTTGTAAATGCGAACACCTTGTATAACGGCTGCTATATCTACAACTTGGCGTTCCTTTTCTGCTGAAGGAAGATCCATCCAAAACAAGCAGCTTTCTTGAGGGAAAATGCTTTTAAAAGTTGTAGTTATTTCGGCTTCCATCTCTTCGGTTACATCCACGTTGTCCGCCATTTGCCTCCCACATTCCATCATATAATCGAGAATGCGGCCTTGAAGCAACTCCACTGTCTTGAAAGTTTCTCTCATGTCAATGACCTGTAGTACACTGAAGGGAGGGTATGCTGGATCAGAAATTATAGCAAACCTTTATTTGAGGAATATCGGCGAGAATTGTTTGCAGCACCTTTGCTTCATTCACTCTTTCTTCAGCGCAAGCTTTCAACTCCAGAAAGGCTGTTGCTTGAGCTGTTATCTGCAGAAGGGTGCCCTTGTTTGGAGCGAGAAGAAAGTTTCGTACCTGTAGCCGAATGGTTTCTAGAGCTGGACAGTTTTCTTGCGTGCAATTGTGTATACAATGCTCCAGGAGGTCCATATAATCCTTTCCATCTTCCATAGACAATCCTAGTTTGAATCTGCGTTCTTTGTTTTACAGGTCAGCGACTAAGGGTCCATGGACTATACCTTTGTGGAAATTGAACAGCTGCTGCTCTCACTTGGAAACAAGCCAAATGCTCGAAGAACAAAGGAACTTTTTTTCCCGTTGTGTAATGCCTCTCTTTGGACAAGCGAATAATATCCTGGATGGTAGCGTGCTCTTTCTCACGCTCCGATGGGTTTCTTATGCTTGGACTCGATCCACGCGAAGATCCGACACTTCTGCCTCGCCTACTGGACCAAGCTACTGGAGGATTTGCCCTTTTTTCCGTGGAATTCGTCATAGTTTGCAGGGATCACAGCATTTTAACTTGAATCAGACCCCGAGATTTCTACGATTTTAAACCTAACTGCTACCTCGGCAGCAGCGATTCTCGAGCTGCGCCTGTCATGAATGTGACGCTCCTTTTTATGGAGTCTGCATTCGAGCTGCACTACATTGAGACCAAGGTGCTGTTCGAACTATTTTGTGATTTCTCTTTGGGGATACCGAGGCTGGTGATAGCAGGGCATTATGTAGTTGACCAACCACAATTTTCTTGACTTAACTTGAAGAACAGAACATTTTTACTTTTCATAGCTACAACTGGTTTTTACGAATTGGATACTTCAGATGAGCTGGCAAAAGAGTAAGCACAACCACATCAGGTTCGTGACAATGCTCTAGAACTGAGCCTCCATCGTGTGTAAGCCTATAGGAAGTCGATCTCCTCCTTCACTGTATATACACCGGTGTGCTCACGTTTTGCATGAGATCATAGCCTTTATGTGTGCTTTGTGCTGTGGGACTCCAGCTTCATCACGTCACCATGCCGCTCATAAGCAAGACCCTCGACAACTTTTTTCACCGTCCGTTGTAGCGGCCCCATCAATCCATAGATGGATTTGAAGTAGGCTATGTGGCCGATTTCTGTTAGCCGGAAGCGTGACTTGTAGTAGTTTACTAGTATGCCTCTGGCCAAGCTTATGGATCGAAACAAGGATCAACACACCAAGATCAAAGCCAAGTCCAAAACAACACGCCAACCAACTGTGCTGCCCTCCAGCCACACCCTGACCTTTGTCTCTCGTTCCTAGTGCCTGCTCCTACCATCCACTCCAAGAACCCTATACCCTTTGTCATGTGGACCAATCTGACACCTCAGATGGTTCTAGCTCCAAACCAATCAGCTAGCCCAAGCTGTGGCGCACCACACATGTTGGTTCCGGTCTCCTGGTTCTGCCAAAGCATTGAAGCGGCCTGTGCCACCTAGGACTTTTAGTTGCATGTTGGGGTTCTTTCAGTATGCTGATTGTTTCCGTGGTACAGTCTGAGGAAGAAGTTCGATTTAATACATTCAGATCTCGGGAGGGTTTCCTCACAAATCTGTGTAAGACCAAGTGAAAACATCTTTATAACTGTCTAGAATGTCAATTGCTTTGTCTTTGAAGGCGTGATCTAGATCTTTAGTGATATGAAGCTTTTGTGGTTCACCTTTGGTTCCTAAGTTGATTTCGTCAATTGGTTCTTCAAGGTTGAGAATTAACTTGAGTTAAAATCTTTCTTGTCTATGAGCTAATTCTTCCTTGAGGTCAATTTGTTATTGAATTGGTTGTAGTTGCTCATGTTTGATTCCTGATCAATCATGCTGTTTCTTGATCTCTGCTGGTGTAGTCTTGAGTGTTGAATCTTCTCAAGTCAAGAGTTTTTCCTTGAATAAAGTTTCTTGAGTTTCAAGCTTCTTTG